GGTGACACCCAGCCTCGGGACGCCCCTGTTAGGCACTTCCTGTTTTAGGTTGACAACGCTCTGTCCCTGTCTCCCGCTTGTGCTCCTGTGTTGTCACGTGGAGACTACAAGCGGCCATGCTGACACACGTTACGCAGATACGGCCCGCTGTTGTCACTACTGGAAAGCTGGACCAGTGCAAAGATGTGCCGCTGACAATGGAGCGAGTGTATGTAGACAGGAAGTGGATGAAAGAGGCTAAAGGCTGTAAAAAGGATGAAGAAAGTGAAAAGAATGTGCAGTTATGTATAATACGCAGTGTTTGAGCAACCTAAATGTCTTCTAGTTAATGTTTACATCTACTTTAAATGGTTAAAATGGATGCTTTCATGTTTGTCAGTGTCAGAAAGCTGGATTGGAGCAATAAGCGGCAGTTGAGGCTAAACACAGGAATTGGCTAAAAGAGGCTGCGGGAGATCAGCAGTACTGAGATGGGTGATGCCGTGCATGTCTATGAAGAGCTCATCCAGAATGAACCCAAAAATAGACGGACGGACGTGCAGGAAATCCCATTGCAGAGTCTATTATTTCCTGATGGCTCTTATCCTGCTCTGGGCACAGAAGGTGTTAAAAGTTCACTCATCACTGATCTGCGGAGGAGGAGAGGGGAACATGACACAGAACAGACCCCGCTTGTTGTTTAGGCTGAGAATCCCTCTGATAAGCTGGAGAGTCACTCGGGGTGAGGATCGGGGTGAGGATCAGGATGAGGATCGGGGTGAGGATCTGGGTGAGGATTGGGGTGAGGGGGAGAGGATCTGGGTGAGGGGGTGAGGATGGTGAGGATCATTTCAACACAAGCACTTCCTGGAGGTTTGTCTGCAGAGTGTGGTACATAACATTCAGTGACGGGCTCATTCACACCCAGAGCGATAAGCTGCGCTGATCTGAGTTGATGAATGCAAACACTACTACTGTCTGTGCGCCCCACTTCACAGCCGAGGCACCACCTACACTGCGGACAGAGATGCCGGCTCAGATCTGACACAGTCATGTACATCCTTGTGCCCGGGTTCACAAATGTCTGACACCGATATGCCCCTGCTGCAGGCGCTCGCCCTCTGGCTTGCTACAGCGTTACAATGTTGCAGACTGATCACTGGGGGAGGGGAGACTGAGGAAATGCTTCCTCCTGCCTGCAGCAGACTGATCACTGAGGGAGGGGAGACCAAGGAAATGCTTCCTCCTGCCTGCAGCAGACTGATCACTGGGGGAGGGGAGACCAAGGAAATGCTTCCTTCTGCTTGCAGCAGACTGATCACTGGGGGAGGGGAGACTGAGGAAATGCTTCCTTCTGCTTGCAGCAGACTGATCACTGGGGGAGGGGAGACTGAGGAAATGCGTAAACAGCTACATGGACTTTCGATGCTCTCAGAGCCGCACATTAAATACTCATTATTATCGCCCGTATGTACAATCCCAAACCCGTCCCGGAATGTGGAACAGATGTTGCAATACTCGAGGTCTGGCATCCCCATTGTCCCGCAGCTATGGAGGGACTACTGTCCCCAGCAAGCTGTGAAAGGTCCGGCTGGGAGTTGC